TTAAATTCTTTACCCTCAAAGTGACAGTGACCACTTCTACTGATAATTCATGCCAGAATTAGTCACAGAACCAAACCTTAAGGAAGTCTGGACACGCATCCTACTACGTGACCAGAGAGGAGAACCAGACACTAGTGAGCAGCACTAATGATTACCCCCGTGATGGTAAAGGAAACACGGTGATCAAACTACAAGAGAGACGAGACCTCCAGAAGCACATGGCAGCGTGGTGAATGGCAAAGACATAGAGGACTAAGATGAACTTTCGGGAAGAATTTACTTGGTTTGGAGAAAGAAGCCAAAGTAAAATGACAAAGAACAGAATGCTGAGTTAGTGTTTTCTGGACAAACATCCTTAATTGGACGTTTGATCCTGCAGAGGATTAAACATCCTTCTCTTCTTCCTGAAACAGAGCATATCCGAAGCTTAAGGTTCTTTCTTTAGAGGCTGATATAGGGCATTATGACAGAGACACAGGGACACATCCGTGTATGATGTTACTATGCCAGAGAAAGACTAGGAAGCCAGTGGCCTTGGAGGAAACCTGCTTCTTTCTGAATCCGGGGAGAAGAATGTTCAGTCTGGTAGCTGCCTGAATGGCCCCTTGCGTACCTCTCAATAAAGGCAGCTCTTGGAGAAGCCATTTATTCCACTGACACCAGGAATTGCCTGTTGTGCAGCTCCATCATTAGCTGAGGCTGAGATGGTCAGTGGATATGCAGTGTGAGGGAGAAATAAATCTTGTAAGCCACTGAGATTTGGGGAATCATTTGTTTCTGCAGTGTAACCCCACCCATACTAACTGATAGTATGTTTATTCTTTCAGTGTCTATGCAGATGAAGCCATTGAGATCCATCAGGCAGACAATGATAAACTTAGAATGGGAGATAAGGGAGAAATATCTGTTCTAAAATATTAGAGGAACTTACAGATGATTTCTTGATTAAAGCATAGACAGAAGAGTATTTTAGGTTCTCAGACTTCTTTAGATGTGAGTGGGCAAGAATGGGGAGAATTCTCTCCCAATATCATGAAAGGGGTGTAAAAATCACAGTTCAATCAAAAGACGAGAAATATTTCTAAAACTCATGACAGAAGAGTTAAGGAAAATAATCCAAAGGAAAAAGGATCAAAGGAACTAAACAAGCATTGCATAAAATAGGAAATACAAATTGCAAAAAAAATATGAAAAAAACAGTCATCATCACTTATAAAAAAGGAAAATTCAAATCCGTTGGGAAGTTTTACAACCTTCCTGGAAAGTAAACTGTTGACTTCTATTAAAATTTAATACTTATCTGTAGATCCCCATAGGAGTCTATTGTCCTCTCCCCTCAAAAAAAATTCCAGCATACAAAACACATACATACATTTCCTGCAGCACTATTTACAATGGAAAACTGGAAACTAGAAAGTCTAGAATGTTTAAATGAATTATAAAACATCTATACTATGGACTGTTGTTGTTGTCTGATCACTAAGTCATATCCAACTCTTTGTGACCTCAGACTGTAGCCCACCAGGCTCCTTTGTCCATGGGATTTCCCAAGCAAAAATACTGAAGAGGATTGCCACTTCCTTCTCCAGGGGTTCTCCCCAGTCCAGGGATTGAACCTACGTCTCCTGCATGGGCAGGCAGATTCTTTACCACTGATCCTACTATGGACTATTCCTTGGTTATTAAAAAGAATGGCATCTATAGATATTGACCTTTGAAGATATAATTGATACATTATTTTTATATAATTGATATATTAAGAGGGATAGAAAGTTAGTTCTAGAGCACCATAAGAGTATGATGTCATATTTATCAAAAATATTAAAAAGGGGGAAATTTTAAACTTACATATTAGCTTTCTATTGTTGCTGTAAAAATTATAGCAGCAGAAAGATGGTGGCTTAAAACAGTACATGTTTATTCTATTCTTTTAGACTTCCAGAGGCCAGAAGTCCAAAGTCAGTGTCGCTGAGTTGAAATCAACATGTGGATAGAGCCACATTCACTTGAATAGTTAGAGGAAAATGTTCCTTATATTTTCCACTTCTGGTGGCAGACAGCATTCCTTGGCTCACAGTCCCATCACACCAATCTCCACAGTCATTTTCACACCATCTTTTTCACTTCTGTAGCAATCAAATCTCCGTCGGTCTCCTTCTTAGGACACATAGCGGTTGCATTTAGGGCACATCCAGATAATCCAAGATAACCTCATGTCAAGATTCCTAACTTAATCACAGGTACTGTGACCCTTTTCCCATATAAGGTGGCACTCACGGGCTCCAGAGATTAGTATCTGGACATGTTGAGGGCCATTATTGGCCTACAAGTTTCTTTCAAATGGATGTGGCTGGGGAAGGAGACGTTTTTCTATCTACTTTGTTTGACTTGCTAAAAATAATAAAATTGAAAAATTTGAAAAAAAAAAGAAAAGCAAAAATTTCAGGTAAATGCAAATAGAAAGCAGAGGCAGCAATATTAATTTTCCTATAATGGAATTCAGAAAGGGGGAGTAGGAGTGGGGAGAAGAGGGAGAAGGGGAAGAAGAAGAGCAGACAACAGCTGCTGTGGAGGATTTTTAGTTGAAACTCAGGGAGTTTGATCTCAACAGTTTTAAACAGAACTTAATATCCCATAACAGAAGATACTGTTCTTGTCCAAGGAATACTCACAAAATCAAGCACATGCTTGTTCACAAAGAAAATTATAGTAAATTTCAAAAAGGAACAATACAGTTCACATCCACTGGACACAAAATTAACATCAAAAGATAGCAAAATAATAACAATGAGAGCCTACGTAGCAAAAACTGTGGGGCATGCCACCAAAACAATTCTGAGGGAAAAAATAACATTTTAAAATGCACTTTTGAGATTTAAAAATAGTTTCAATAAGCAAACCAATCATTCCAGTTAAGAAGTTAGAACAAAGAACAGGAAAAACTAAGAAATTTGGGGAGGATAGATAGAAGTGTGTCAATCAGCTATTGCCACAAAATTCTGTATAACACACATGCAGAAAGTCTCAGTGGCATACAATAAGGATTTATTTCTAGCTTATGCAGATCAGCTGCATGAGCAGATCACTCTGCTCCAGGCTGTGGGACAACTGGGATGGCACTCTCTCTGCTCCAGCTGCCCCTTTCTAAGATCCCTGCTGGAAGGTCAATGGTTCTCAGGAGTGTGTCCTTCAGTTGGTGATGGCAGCCCAAGGGGCCCATTTTAGACCACAGCTACTGTGGCAGTAGGCACATGACCATGGGATCCCCTGGACCTGTCACCTGCTGCACCATCAGAAGATGCTACTCTGAGACAGTGAAGAAATGGTCTTCTGAAGGTGCAGCTGAGGTACTAGCTTGGAGATGACACTCTGTAATGATGAGATGCCAACTGCCAGGACACATGATATACCCTAAGTCAATTATAATTACTGGCGCTCTACTCCCAATAGGTATCATATGGGTTCAGGAACCAAGGCGGGAAATACGAGCAGCCCCTCTTACCATCATTGCTCCCAGTTATTCACTTGGATAACTCCAGGTTCTCCTTGTCTAGAGGTCCTTCTTCTAAAAAAGTGGGACACTTTCGCCAGAGTACACATTAATTTCTTTTAATGTGGTAAAATATACAAAAACAAAGTCTATCCTTTTAACCATTTTAAAGTATACAGTTCAATGGCTTTAAGTGCATTTCCATTGTCGTAAAACCATTACCATGATCCATCTCCAAAACTTTTCCTTCTTCCCAAACTCTCCATCTATTAAACAATTGTTTTAAATAATAGATGAAACAATTAATCTATTAAACAATCCCCATTTCCTCTGCCCTCCAGTTCTTGGAAACCACCATTCTTTCAGTCTCTGTGAATTTAACTATTCTAGGTATCTCATATAAATGGAATCATACTGTATTTATCTTTTTGTCTGACTTATCTCAGTCCGGTGTCTTCAGGGTCCATCCATGTTGTAGCATGTTTCAGAATTTCATTCCTTTTTAAGGCTGAATAACATTCCATTGTATGCATATATCACATTTTACTTATTCATCATTCAATGGACATTTGGGTTGTTTCCACCTTTTGTTATTGTTGCTCGGCTGTGTGCAACTCTGTGACCCCATGGACTGAAGCATGCCAGGCTTCCCTGTCCTTCAGTGTCTCCTAGAGTCTGCTCAAACTCATCCATGTTTTGGCTACATGAATAATGCTGCTAACAACCCTTGGTGTACAAGTATCAGTTTGAGTCTGTTTTCAGTTCTTTTGGGTATATATGCAAAAGTAGAATTGCTGAAGAAATGGTGATTGTTTAATTTTCGGAAGAACTGCCATACCGTTTTCCATGCAGCTGCACTGTTTTACATTCCTGCCAGCAATACCTGGGCCATGGCAGTGAAGGCCAGAATCCTAACCACGAGGCCACCAAAATATCAGGGAACTCCCAAATATCTTTAAAACTGATTTTTATTTACTCAATGACACATAAAAATCACCTGCAGAGCCTGAAAACTAAGTATTCATTCCTTGTCTTGCTCTTTGCAGATTCTGATTTAGTGGGAAAAAAAGCTTCTAAATTCTTATAGGATATATTATATTAGGGCTTCTCTGATAGCTCAGTTGGTAAAGAATCCGCCTATAATACGGGAGACCTGGGTTTGATCCCTGGGTTGGGAAGATCCCCTGGAGAAGGGAAAGGCTACCCATGCCAGTATTCTGGCCTGGAGAATTCCATGGATTGTATAGTCCATGGGGTTGCAAAGCGTCAGACACGACTGAGTGACTTTCACCTTCATATTAATCCATAATGTTAACATTTATGGGATATAAATATTATAACTAGTGACCTATTAGGATAAATTGCATGTACAAATGAAGTTACTTGTAATAAAAGTATTAATCCAAAATGTAAATATTCAGGCTTTCCCTAAAACATTTGTTATTTTCAGTTTTTGTTTTTATTTTTACATGCTTCCCTGGTGGTTCAGCGGTAAAGAATCCACCTGCCAATGCAGGAGACTCAGGTTCAATCCCTGGGTCGGGAAGATCCCTTGGACAGAGAAATGGCAACTCACTCTGGAATTCTTGCCTGTGAAATTCCATGGACAGAGGGGCCTGGCAGGCTACAGTCCATGGGATCGAAAGAGTCAGACACAACTTACCCAGTAAACAACAGCCATCTTAATGGGTATGGATGGTATCTCATTGCCGTTTTGACTTGCAGTCCTCTGCTCATTTTAAAACTGGGTTGTTTTTGTTGTTGTTGCATGTGGTTCTTTATATATGCTGAATATTATATCAGATATATGATTTGCAAGTGTGTTTTCCCATTCTGTGGGTTGCCTTTACACTCTGTTGATAGCATCCTTTAAATTTTAATGTTTTAAATTTTAGTGAAGTGCAATTTGTTGACTTTTTTTCTTTTGTTGCCTATGTTTCTTGGTGTCATAGCTAAGAAATTATTGCTAAATCCGAGGTCAGGCAGCTTTTTCTCATGTTTTCTTCTAAAAGTTTTATACTTTTAGCTTTTACATTTAGACCTTTGATACATTTTGAGTTAATTTTTATAGACAGTGTAAGATAAAGATCCACATACACTACACTTCCCTCTTTTTTGTGTGTGGATATCCAATTTTACCAGCACTATTTGTTGAAAACATTTTCCTTTCCCCATTGAATGGTCTTGGTATCCTCATCAAAAATCATCTGAACATGTGTGTAAGGCTCAATGCCCAGAAACAAACCCATTGGTCTCTATGTCTGTCTTTATGCCAGTACCATGCTGTTTTGATTACTGAAGCTTTATGTTAAGTTTTGAAATCAGAATGTGTGAATCCTCCAATTTTATTCTTCTTTTTCAAGATTGTTTTGGCTATTTCAGTTCCCTTGAGATTCCATGTGAATTTTAGTTTGCATTTTTCTATTTCTGGAAAAAAGTCATTAAAATTTTGATGGGTTTTTAATTGAATCTGTAGATTGCTTTGGGATTAATCCCATTAATTTTAAGTTGTCGCTGCTGCCCTGTTACTTTGGACAAGATGAATAATCAGTATCCTGGTGTTAGTAACTGACCCTTATCATTACAAAGTAGGGCTGCTGCTACACAATGGGAGCAGCTAGTAGTGCTCCTTAGCATCCCTGAGACCCCCTTAGGTGCCTGTTGGTATTCGCATGCCCAGGTTTAAGGGTAAATGGACAAGTGCAGCAACCCTGGCTGGTCTGAAAAGGACATTTAATCCAGGTGCTTGGACCTCTCAGAGATGACAGGATGGGTCACTCCACCAAGTTTGCCACCTATACTAGCAGAAGTGCTAGCCAAGGATGGTTTTGCGTGTTCTTTTTTCTGGTTCCTTTAGGTGTAAGGTTAAGACAGAGATTTCTAATTTCCTGAGGTAGGCTGGCTTGTATTACCATTAACTTCCCTCTTAGAACTGCTTTTGCTGTTGGATCGTTGTTTCCATTTTCATTTGTCTCCAAATGTCTTCCTCTCTGATTTCTTTAGTGACTCACTGGTTATCGAGTAGCACATTGTTCAGCCTCAGTGTTTGTGTTTCCTTGCTGTTTTTTTTTTCTTATAGTTTATTTCTAGGCAAAGAGGCTAGATCTTAATTATTCCCATCACAAAAAAGAAGAGGTAATTATGTCACAATATAAGTGTCAGCTAAGCCTGTGGTGGCAATATTGCAAACATAAATATCAAATCAACATACTGCACACCTTAAACTTACACACATCCACTAAAAAATTATAACACCTGCTTTCATCATCTGAGCCTAGAATTTCTACTTACTCTTATACCTAATCTTAATATTCACTAGAGACAAAACTATCTCATAAACAGAAGGAATATTATTCTTTTATTCAAAACTTCCACAAGAATTGATCAGCATTTTGGAAAATGATGTTTCCAACAGTTAACATCACTCAATTTCTTTGAGTGACCAATAAAACATACCTGTTACCAATATGCATTTAAAAGTTGTAACAGAGCTCTTCAGGACTCATGAATTCAGTCTCTATTTTAAAGTACCAATAGAGTTAAGAGTGCACAATTAAACAATTTTACTTCTTCTATATAGTAGTGGTAAAGAATCCACCTGCCAATGCAGGAGATGCAAGAGACACGGGTTCCATCCCTGGGTTGGGAAGATCCCCTGGAGTAGGAAATGGTAACCCACTCCAGTACTGTTGCCTGGAAAATTTCATGGATAAAGGAGCTGGTGGGCTTCAGTCCATGGAGCTGCAGAGGATGACACGACTGAGCAACTGAGCACGCACACACTTGTGTACATAAGAGCAAGCACTCGACTATGCCATTGTTTCTTAGTGTGGTCGTATCTGGGCATTTACATACTGAAAGGCACATTTTATTACAAATTGATTTATTTTTTTATTACAATAAAGGCATTGGCTTAATCCTTTCTGAAATTGTGTATATAGGTTTATGTTACATGTGAATTTTGTTTCAGGATAGGGGTGTGAGATGTTATAAATGTTCCCATGATGATATGTTACGATGTTATGTTATGTTAATGATGTTATGTTATGTTATGTTAATGTTATGATGAGGATCTGCTAAGTAATCTCAGAACAAGTTCTTTGAGGGTAGAAAATGCCTTATGATTTCTATGAGTACCCTTGCACCAAGTTCTGAATATTTAATCTCACCCTGTTGCAGTTTCTGTTTGCCTCTTCAGAAGCCCTCATTTGCTCCTGCATTCTGGAAATCTCAGTTTTGATGCAGCGTCCACCCTAATGCAGGTAACTCAGATAAATATGACCAATCGAAGTCAGAATGGCCTCATTCCCTCTGCCGATCATCAGAGCCAGGCGAGTGACCTGATCCCAGTTTTGAGACATGAAGAGAATTCTGTAGATCAGCTTTGAGAAAGGGTTTACACTCATTACAGACACCAAGAAGAAAAGGTTATTTTCTTTCACTGAACATTGTTTATACAGTGACACCTGGAATCATAGTAGGGGTTTTTTGATCAAGTATTACTTGCACCCCCAACTCCCCAAATTGCTGAGAATGACAGTTTGGGAAAGACAGATAGGAGAAAACCACGATACCTGTTATTTCTGAACCCTCTCTCAACCCATTCCAGAACCTCTGAAGTGTTTGTAATATCCAACAGAGTTGGGTCTTTTCTTATTGTCAGCAGTATGCATGTTTACTGATACGGACCTCTTCACAAGCAGTTGTGTTGCTGAGGAACAGTTACATACACTGTACACAATCTTGGTGAGAATGCTACATGGGAAGCTCTAAGTGATTTTCTCTCAGCCATCAGCTCCTATTCAGACCATCTGTGTTATAACTGAGTCCCAGGCTTAGCTGTGTAGGCTTCCTGACAGACTGATTTATTTTACATTGACAGTGAGCTATGCAGCCTTGCTGTCCAGTCATGGAAACCAAGAAAATTTCTTGTGCTCTAATTCATCCTTTCATGTCACCACTGCTCAGGTAAATTAATTTAGAAGTAAGTTGTCCTAATCCCTAGCAAAGCCTGGTGATACGACACATATTTTGTCAACATATCTAAGGATGAACTTCAAGAATAATCAAGGGCTATCTTTTTGGCAAGTTTTACTTAGCAGGCAGAGAAGAGTTCTTTCTGTGGGAATAAGGTTTAAATGATTAAATTTATGAATCTAATAACCCTTCCATTAGGGGAAGCTTATTTATGAATCTAATAACCCATTAACCCAAAATGTACTAGCATTGCCTAACCACAATTCACTTTTGACATTTCACCTTTCTTCTTCTCTGCACTTTTTCTATCAAAATCCTTCACCCTTATCTCTTTTCCTCTTCTCATCTTCCACACTCTTCATTATTCATAGAAACTATGTGCTTTGCTGGATGTAGAGAATTACAAACTATTCCCAGTTCTCGATGAGTCTGCAAGCCCCTTCAATCCCTATAGTACTCCTCAAGGGCAGTTTGTAGTTTAGCTTTTTTTTTTTTTTTAAGAAAGAATGTACAGGATAGAAGTTTACAAAGTAAGCATAGTCTTATCTAAAATTTTATTTTATTTCAGTCTGTGATTATTGCCACTTGTTCAAATTGCTCACATAAACCCATTCCATCCAAAAAAGAAATATAAAATGCTTCTAACAGCGTAAGCACAGTCGGCATGGCCTATCCAAACGTCTTCCACTAGTGTCCACACACACATAAAATCTACATGGAGTTAAGCCACAAACTGGATGTTTTTTTATCTATGCCATAAGAAATTTTCAACATCAGTTTGGTTTTAAAAACCCATCAAGTATCAGTCATGGCAAAGAAGATCACTGAGCTGATTTCTGATAACTAAGTTATGTTATCACTGAACGTAATTTATCCTACATGATTACTGGAATGCGGAAGACCTTGGGGTAGGGGCTCTTCACAAGTAACACAAGCATCACTTGCACGGGGACGGCTGGGCATTCCCAGAGCAGCCCTGTGCTCCTGACTTCCTCCACTGCTTCTTCCTCACCATGGTACGCAAGGCTCCAAAGCTGAGAGGGCAATGCTCAAACTCACTGAAGGTTTTTGCAAAGAAGACTAATGAAGGAGATGATGTGAGGTACTAATTTTTGAGGTACAGCTAAATACTAAAAGTGATGATGATAATGAGATCTTGAGTACTTGAGCCTATTTATATTGCCTTGGATTCATTAATTTTGCATGTTAACCTGCTTTCTATCTCACAGGACACTGTGGAGGATTAAGTGAGATAAAGTATGTGACAGTCTAGTTTGTGTCTGCATAACCACTATATAATATTCTCATCCTCCTCCCCATCCTCAAAGAGGCTAGTCCTTGAACTTTCAGAGTACTCTGTAAAGAAGAAATTAGTATTTCTACCTGCATCCGTGTCAGCATGATTCTAAATTTCTCCCAAGAGTCACTTCTCTTTTGTAAAATAAACTTTATACTATTTGAAATATATGTGAAGCTTCATTTTTGTTCAGGGTTTTTAAGTTCCCATTGTGAAAAGTTACTTCTGAGGAACTAAAACCCCAGAAGGTAACCATAACAAAAACATGTTCAGTGTTTTTTTTTTTTATTTTAAATGACGGTTCAAAGGCAGACTTGTAGACTTGTATCTCTTCAGGAGATGGAAGGCAAATGCAGCCTCTGAAGGGAACTGTTCTAATTATTGCCCCCAAAAGTAAAGTTACACAACTATATTCAAGGACATAAGACAAGGCACTACATTAAAACTAGCGTGACTGAACAGTTAGGGGGAAACAGCTGAAAGAGGAAAGGGAGATAGATTTAAGAATAATCTGAGTTGGGACAAGGATCCATCATTCCTGGATGCTTCTGTTATCTGAATATCTTGAATCACATGATTTCCTGTTTTACCTTCTACAA